TGACTTGTTGAAAGTTATGTTTCCGACAGCTCTCCTACACAGCCAGATGTTATTTAACTTTGGATCATATATTGCCCTTTACAATTTAAAAGTACAATAAAAAATATGTGTAATATCCAACTGGCTGATTATACTGTGGATGCAGTCCTTTGATTTGGTAATAATGAATGATACTTAGAACTATCATTTTATTAATAAATATTTTGAGACCATTTTTATTTCTTTGACGTGTGTATAAGCTCTACTCAGGAATTCTGTTCAGCTGTATTACTCACAATTTCCTAAGAATTCGTAATATGCGTGTCGGGTTAGGTCATATCAAATCTTAGTGAATTTCTACAAAAATGTTATTAGAGATTAATCTTTTACATATCCATGATATGATGGATTAATAGTGTAATAAAACATGTCCTCATAGACCTTTATAATACTTGACATATTACGTCTAGGAAGCTGTTCTAGTTTTAAGGACGCACTTGTTCGCTCCACTCGGTTCAAGCAGACACCCATAAGACATATTCATTGGATATTTTAGTATGTATTTGAAATTTACGTTCTCAGTTTACGTGGCGTGATGGCGCCATGTCTTAGTCGGTATGAGTCATAGTTAGAAGCCTTTTCACATTGAGAGTTTTTTCCATCTAGAATGTTTACGGATTTTTTTTTCACATTCAATCATTTATCATTTTTCAGATGGCTGACCAATTATTCCAACATCATTATTAAATAGGCTACTTGTTCCTGCCTTATTTGAGAATCTCTTAACATATGCTAAATTTCCATATATAGGGGAAAAGAATCAACTATTCAATAAATGGTGCTGGGAAAACTGGATAGCCACTCGTAGAAGGCTAAAGCAGGATCCACACTTTTCACCTCTCACAAAAATCAACTCACGCTGAATAATAGACTTAACCTAAGGTATGAACTATTGAATTCTAGAGGAAAATGTTAGAAACACTCTCCTAGACATTGGCCTAGGCAAAGAATTTATGAAGAAGACTCCAAAGGCAATCACAGCAGCAACAAAAATAAATAAATGGGACATGATCAAACTAAAAACCTTCTGCACAGCCAAACAAACAGTCATGAAAACAAACAGACAACCTGAATGGGAGAAAATTTTCGCATCCTACACATCTGATAAGGAGCTGATAACTAAAATCTACTTAGAACTCATGAAAATCAGCAAGAAAAAATTGAAGCTCTTACTCGAGGGGGGAGGGGGACATGGGCAATATAAGTAACCTTAACACTTGTACCCCCATAATACACTAAAATAAAATAAATAAATAAATAAAAAATAAAACAATCCTATCAAAAAGTGGGCAAAGGACATGAACAGAAATTTTCTAAAGAAGACAGAATAATGACTAACAAACATATGAAAAAATACTCAACATCCCTAATCATCAGGGAAATGCAAATCAAAACCACAATGAGATATCACTTATATCCAATAAGAATGGCCTTTATCAAAAAGTCCCAAAACAACAGATGTTGGAGTGAGGCCAGAGAGAGAGGAACACTCCTACACTGCTGGTGGGACTGCACGTAGTTCAACCTCTGTGGAAAGCAATATGGAAGATACTTTAAGCGATACACAGTGGATCTACCATTTGACCCAGCAATCCATTACTGGGTATCTACCAAAAGAGTCAAATGACACTCTACAACAAAGACACCTGCACTCGAATGTTTATAGCAGCACAATTCGCAATTGCAAAGTTGTGGAAACAGCCCAAGTGCCCATCAATCCATGAGTGGATTAATAAAATGTGGTATACATATACCATGGAGTACCATGCAGCTCTAAGAAACAATAGTGATATAGCGACACTTGTATCCTGGTTAGAGCTGGAACCCATACTACTAAGTGAAGTATCTCAAGAATGGAAAACAAGCCCACATGTACTCACGCGCAAATTGGTATTAACTGATCAAACACCTAATGGACACAATAGGAATTACACTATTGGGTATTGGGCAGGTGGGAGGGGAGGAGGACGGGTATATACATACATAATGAGTGAGATGTGCACCATCTAGGGGATGGTCACACTTGAAGCTCAGACTTGTGGGGAGGAGGGGGCAGGGCATCATTGAAACCTAAATTGTACCCCATAATATGCTGAAAAAAAATAAATAAATATAAAATAAAGGAGGATAAATGAAAAACTAAAGACCGTTATTGTCACCAGGGAAGGAGGGCAAGGTGGAAGGGATCCGATAGAGATACGGTATTTCTAAATGTGTTCTGTTGCATTTTGGATCCATGTCATGTTTTACATAATTATAAAATAAAAAATTTAATTAAAAAAATTTCCATATATATTTGGGTCTAGTATGTTCCATTGGCTTAAGTCTATGAACCAATACCACAAGATTTGATTATTAAAGTTTTATAACATACTTTAACATCTGATAGGGTTAATTGTTCCTTGCCTTCCATTATCACCACATTGCTCTTCTTTTTCAAGGTTTGCCTGGCTATTTTATTTAGTTCTGTGCAAGCGCTTTAGAAACAGCGTGCCTCCTTTCATCCCACCCTGCCCTGCAAAATGTTTATATACCAGCTGGGCTTATCACTGTCCTAAAATCCTACCATTAGATAAAATGAGTCAGAAAGCCACAAACATCAGACAAAGCTCTAGCGTCTTGCGCTGTGAACTGAAACAGCCACTACGTCTCTTAGGGTCTCGGCTTTGACAGAATGGGGACAAAGATAAGCAGGAGTTTTACATAGATGTTCTCTAAGATTCTTTCCAGTGCTAAGGTTTTCTGGTTCAATGTTAAACTTTACATTGGGGGGTCTCCATTAGCACTGTGCGCATTTCTCATAAAAAATGCCTACATTGTGGTTTTATGTCACAAACAACTGAAATTTTTTTTATCATATGCCATAATTTGCAGTAACTAAAAATATTAAAAAGAAATGACTTGTTTTCCCTGGAGATCAAATTTTGAACAATACAACTTCTACTAAGTCATACTTTCAAACCATTTACCTTTTGTAAGTGCAACATAGTATAAGAGAAGAATCTGGAACAAAAAAAGTGCCAACGAAAACCAAAAATTGTGTTTTGTTTTGTTTTTCGGAAGATCGGCTTCTATTTTTTTTTTTTTTTTACTGTTTTTCTTCTTACCATTTCTGTTAAATTGCTAACTGACCAAATGTTGTAAGATCAAAGGTTCTAAATGCAGTTTTCTCACACATGACCGAGTGGCCGCTGAGAACAATGATTACACATCACTGCTGAGTAACTGGGACAATACTCTACTCTAAATTGCATGTCATGGATGAGGATGAAAAAATGAACCAGTAAAAACTTTAGTTGGTTGCATTGCTCCGAAAAGCACATTATTTAAAAAATTTGCCAACAGGTTGGCATAATACAATTTGTACCATCATTTTAAAATACACTGCAATTAAATGTTTGGTGGCTTCGGATCAGTCACCTAAGTATCTATGAACTAAGAAGCTGGGGAAGAAAGGCCCTTTCTGGCAACTTCTATTTTATTCATGACTGCTTCATTAACAGATTTTCCCTCTCCTTTTTCCTCAATGGCTAAATGTTAGCTGGGTTCTGAGAATATGGAGTATACAGCACAAAACCAAAGAGAATAGTTTATTTTCGGTACAGTATTTTTATGCTTTCTGCAGACTAGTGACTTACATATGTAATGTACCTCCTGCACAAAAAGTGAAGCATTCTTAGAGTTATTGACCTACATGGAAATCTCATCTCAGCTTTAAAAATTCCTGTGCAAAAATGTAAAGCTAAGATAGAAGGATCTGCATTTATTTCAGGAAGTTAGAAGTTACTTGGGCACTAATCCTAATGGGAGCTGCATACAAATAAATCCCTGGACATCAAAATATCCTTGACTGGGTTGACTTTTAATTTAGGAGTTTACTAGAGCCTGCAGCTATACTGCTGGAGTCTGTGATAGTGTCAGATCCTATAAATGAAGCATGGAGGACTTGGTTAGCAGCCTGGGTTGAATGCCAAAGAATGCCCTAGGGACATGGTAATTCAGTACTCAAGGCAGCCTTCATTTCTGGGAGCCAATACTAAATCAGTGCCCCATAATGGTGTTAGAAGCACTGCAGTGCAGCCTCAAATTTTCGCTAGCAGCACCTCGTCCTTATTTACAAAGAAAGCTCTTTTCTCTAGCATATGCAGGGTAACTGCAAGGACAATAAGTTATAGCTGCCACATCAAATATTCCTGCAAGCAGAGACTCTCAGGCAATCTGCCACCAGCCAAGGTTTCCTTGAACCCCCTTCCTGGCTGGGGAAGAAATGCATAACCAGGGAGAGAAGACAGTAGAGCCAACCCCTCCAACACTTCAGTTCCAATGGACATATGACAGAAATAACTAGAGAAATGATAACAGACTAGGTCCATCTTCTACTTCGTTTCACCTTTTTCCCAGGATTCTACTGAGGGATGAGAATGAGTAGGAGTGCCACCCTGCCAGTCCCAGGCAGCCCACCCTTCCACCACTAAAAATGGGGAACTAAGGAATTACTGTAGACAGGAAATCTAATCAATGGCTGTCGCTTTCTCGTGTCAGCAGGTGGAAGTGAAGAGATACGTGGGAACCCAAGAGAATCCAACCACCACCATCATCATCACCCTTTTCACCATCTTATAAGCCCTGACATGGAGCATTTCCACTGTTCCATGCCCTGTGCATGCCTCACAACAAACCCGTCTCTGAGAGGTATTTCCCCCCTTTGATAGAAGGAAGAACTGAAGCTGCAAGAGATGAAGTTACTTGCCTGAGGTTGCTCCGGCATGAGCAAGAGAGCTCATGTTCAAACCTTTGCTTATCTGACACAAGAAATGGGTGAGAAAGTCAGACACTGTAAGTTGCAGCTGAGTTCCCAATGTGGGGGCCAAGTAGCACCCAAAACCTAACGTGGGATCCTTCAGCACCAATGCAGAGTGAGCCAAGAAAGTATGAAACCAGTTCTAGCAGAATTAGCCTACCTCTTCCTGATGCGGAAAATGTCGGGCGCCGGGAGGCGGCTGCTTGCTGCTGCCATGTAGCTCCGCATTTCCTCAGGGCAGCGTTGCGGGTGGCCAGTTGGAGAGCAGGCTGCTGGGGCCGGGGCCCTGCGGCACAAAGAGACACCCAGGCCCAGGCCAGGAGGGACCTCACAGGCCAGAATGCCCCCAGGCCCACAAGCTACTGCCTGTTTCCGGCCACGCTGTTTGCGTGATCCTGATTGGGTAATTTTTGAATACCACTGTTTTTGATTGGATATTAAAGCTTGATGTTGATTGGATGTTAAAGCTTGTAGTTGATTGGACGCTTTTTGAGCCCTACTAAGGGTATAAAAGCAGGAGCAGAAGTGGCAGGAAGGGGAGAATATCGGAAGACATGAAAAGAGCTGTAACGCTAGGTGTGCTGAGCCTGCTGTAGAAGAATAAAGGCTGTTCTCCAACTCTTCGTGTGCCACTCGGTTCTTTCCCTGGTCCAACAAATAAGAGCTGTAACAAGAGCTGTAACGCTAGCTATACACATTGCAGCAACATTACCCCGAGAGTTGAAAGAGACTAGAGAGTGAAGAGACTAGAAGAAAGTGCTGTCTTTAGAGGGAACTCTTGGGCTAGCATGGCATTCTTCTCCTTTTCCTTCGAAGGGAGAAGAGAGGTGGGTCCCCATTATCTTAAGACAATAAGAAAAATTTCACAGGGACACTAGAAAAGTGTGGCATGTGTCCCCTCGACTTTGAATAATAAAAACTGGGCTGGGAGCGGTGGTTCACGCCTATAATCCTAGCTCTTTGTGAGGCCAACGCGGGAGGGTCACTTGAGGCCTGGAGTTCCAGACTAGCTACATAGTGAGACCAGCTCCCTACAAAAAAACAGAAAAATTAGCCAGGCATGGTGGCGTACCTATAGTCCCAGCTACTTGGGAGGCTCAGGCAGGAGGATTGCTTTTCTCAGAACGCCCTCCTGTTATGGTGCCGCACTTTTTTCTGATTTTTATAGAATTTTGTTTTTCTTCTTTTGAACTGCCTTTACAATAGTACCTTCAATGGCTGGACAAATTAAGGAGGAAATTAGGACTAAAATTGTTTATAGTTTGTTTTTCAGGAAACAAAATCAATAAAGAATGAGGCCAATTTCAACACACACACGGTTAATGATGTCATCTTTCTAAAGAGCACAAGGCATTCTAAATCATTACCTAGCTCTTTAGAAATAAGAGTCTGTGAGTGGTTTTTTTTTTTTTTTTTGCATTTTTATCTTTTCTCTATTTTATCTTTTCCTCTATTTTACATCAGTTTGAATAAGCATAGATGATAGTTTTTAAGCTCTATATTTCTACTACTCAGGTGTTAAAGGCAGTCTTGTACTGTATCTTACTTTGTTGAGGCCCATTGTGTCAAAAACAAGATTCCTTTGTGGGGCGCCCATAAAGTATAGTAAAATAGGTACAGGAAGATTGGTGCGTTAAGCTGAACCAAAGCATGTCTGATATGCCTTGTGGCCTCTTTGAAGTTAGGATTCAGAACCGGGTTTCCTACAAACAGTAGGCTTGCACTTCAATGCGATGTATGTTCAAACATTTGCTGCATGTAAGAGCTTCAATTCATAATATCAATTTAAAATGTGGCCCTAGCAAATGGAAGGTTGCTCACACCCACTCCCCTTGTAGCTTGTAGGTCACTGTAACCCACTATGGATGAACTCAGGCTGGGGTTCCAGATGTCATTTCTCTCTCACTGGTAGAATCAGGGCACCCAACTTCTTTTCTTTTTATCTGTAACTTAAAATTGGACAGCAGGGAGGTTTTTGTGCACCCTTACGTCCCAAAGTTGGACTGGAATTAGAAGCTAGTATACTTCAAAAAACAGTGAATGAAATTTACACATTTCCGGTATTATCAGATATGAAAGTCCATCTTTAAATTTAGCTCAGCATGTGAAATATATCAGGTTGACCTCTTCCTGCACTCTCGGAGTATTAAAGAGGTAGAAGCAAAAAAAAAGCCCAGTATTGCCAACGATCAGCTAAATTATCCTCAGCATGACAAACAATGCACAGGCTGCTGTTATCATCCTGCCGGCTTGAGTGGGGAGTGGGAGGGAAAGAAGGACAAAGAAGAAGTCACAGAAATTGACTCTCCTCGTCAACCTCTGCTCCTCCACCCAAAAAGCCTTCCAATCTTGACCACATCCATGTCTTGTCTGAAGATTAAGAAGTGTCTTTGCCTGGAGACTCCTTGGGATACTACTTCTGTATACCCTAGACATGGCTACTTTTCAGTTCTTGAAGCCCAACAGTGTGGCAGACAATCCAAAACATGTGTTATGTGTCCCATGATTCATGTTTTCGGAATCAAAATTGGAACATACAGGGTATGACACATTGATCCAGGCCCCCATATGCTCTGATAAGAGCACAGGATCTTTTCATCAAATTCTAAGACACCACATAATGGATTGTTAATTTTACATCAACTGATAAGGCTAAGATGAGGCCCAGAGGCTAGTTATAACGTTATTTCTGGGTGGTCTGTGAGAGTATTAGCATTCTGAAGAGATGAGCATTTGAATCTGTAAGGAAAGACGACCTCACACTGTGGGTGGGCACCAGTCCACCCTTGGAGGACCTGAAATAGAGTGAAAAGGTTGGAGGAAAGGAGAATTGCTCTCACTGCTTGAGTTGGGACATCCATCTTCTCTGCCTCAGACATCAGAGCTCCTGTTTCTTGAGCCTTCACCATTGGCTTCCCTGGTTCTTAGGCCTTTGGGCGAAATGGACGAGGAGCAATACCACTGGCTTTCCTTTCCTGCCACCTGTAGCTTGCAAATGGTAAATTGTGAGACTTCTCAGCCTCCGTAAGCATTTGAGGCCCAATTCCTTATAATAAACCTCTCCTTATATAATCTATCTGTGCAAGATATATATATATATGTATCC